CCTACGGTCTTGAGCAGCAGTGGCTGATCCTGCCCTTCATTACATCGTCATAAACGCTTCTTTTTAGCATATAAGCCAGTCCAGGGAAACCTTCTATGCGGTATACGGCTGATTCAGACGAGGCAATGGGACTGAAACCTACAAATTAACCACTTAGACGACAGGTAGGTAAAGATACAGTAATTCAACCAAAGTAACTCCGCGGCGTGAAATAGCTGTTTCGAACGGAGTGGTAGCTTTAAGACGGGTGACACAAAATTAATTATTTAGGAACCAATGTTTTGCCCATAACCAAGTTATAAACATGCATATACAGGTCAGCAGTAACTGGAGTTTCCAGATGTTACCATCCAGAATACACATAACACTAAATTTATTAACATTTTCTGCCAGTTAATTATAGCCTATTTATTTATGTTATTATTATTTCTCTTCCAGCGTTTGACCTCTCAGGTATAACCTCAAGGAAGCGGCGGGTCATTCTCAACTGTCATGGTACCGTTCTAGGTTTATATGTGGCCATTTTATAGATGACGGATTTGCCGGCCCTGTTCCCAGCCATTCTATGATATCCCCCACCTATGACCATTCGTCAGAGCTGACTCCATATTTGGAGGTCGTTCCCCTACTTGCAGCCCAGGGAAGCTCCCCATGGTTAGCAGCTAAGTTCACTGACATGTCGATAAGGAGTGAAACTGATTGGCTGTTCATCTGAAACCGCTAATATCTCAGTTTAATTTTTTAAGACTATCTCTATACTGCCTTCTGTAGGTTTCATGCAATGACTTAAGTTTAGGCGCTGGGTAAATGCAACAAATTACTGGCTCCGTAGGGTATAGTGAATCATGTCCAGTTCGTATCTGTATAAAAGGAGTGCTAGTCTAGACTACACTGCATATACGAATATGACATACAAAGACATTACTACATAAAAGCTCCTTTCATTGCACCTGCACAGTGGGAATCATTTCTGGCACCATATTCATAATTGAGCTTAGGG